TAGCCTCTTACAAGGCTACTGCCAAAAAGAGACTTGAAAATTTTGCTGACAGAGCAAGAATTAAGAATTTCTGACCTTCAGGCTGCCTGTCATGGTAAGTCAAGGAATACTTTTAAGCATCAGATATGCCCCATCAGAAATGTTATTTGTCTGTGAGAGATATTTCTATTATTCCCTTAAATTGATACCAAATATTTCATTGACTGAAAAGCAAGTTTTTTCATGCAAAGCATTAATTACTTTGTTCTTGACAAAGCATTGTAATACTTGGGGCTAATTTTTGCTTCCTTCCAGCTGATGAGAACATGAATTTAAAGTACCTTCTAGCTACATAAAGAGTGTTTTACTGCACAAGTACACATTTATAAGAGTAGCAGTTAATTAAATGTCTGAAAGTCTTTTGTCTATCCTTGCCTGTTCTGCATAAACCCTCTCCATCAGACAAGAGCATTCTTTACACAACTCTGTTCTGGTAGAACTATTTATGCATTTTCACTTTTTCAAGCAGTATAAGTAGATACCCACAAAAGCTTTAACATCAAAATTTTTTCAATAAGTTATAAATTTGCTTTTATCATTCTTTTATTCCTTGGATTGATTTTATCAATAAAGAATCTAGCATGGTCCCAGACATTTGTCACAAGCATAAATATATTATAAAATTATTTAGAATAGCACACATGGGTGATATTAATACAGCTTTATTATATTTTAAATGTTTGGGTTTTGTCCACCTGACTACTATGCCATACAGTGACAGCAAACTAAACTGTCATAAGCTCATTAGGGTTTGATTTTTGCCTATAATGTCTTCCTTTACTTCTTGGGTTACTTATTAATAAATGTCTCAATATCTACCCTCTTCAGGGATAATGTCAATATAGAACTGTTGCAGCTGAGTTTGAAACACGGAATCAAATTTATGCCTTCAGGAGACAACGGTATGTTCCAGGTCAGGTCTGATCTAGATTTAAATCTTTTACTGCAAGTCACAATGAGAAAACTTATCTTTAAAAAGAGCAGACATTAAACTGAATTTGTTTCAAATATAGCATACTTTAAAACATAAAACATACATAAAACATACAAGACAGTGAGAAAGTACTTATTTTCTTCTTTTTTAGAGACTCTCCAAATACCAAGCAGAAAGCCTAACTTTTCTTGAGTGAATTTGATTAAAAATGTAGGGGAAGAAAAGAAAAAGGAGTGTATGATTAAATAAATAACAGAACTTCTCTGTCCCACTTTCTTATGTCCCTGGTGCAGTTACTTCATAAGATCTGCACCTAGCCAATCATCTTTCCACTTTGGCCCTACCTCCTCAGTTCACTCTTGAGGGCATTGGGGAAGACAAAACATCAAAACTTTTACAAAAGTTAAGAGGTACACCTGCTTCTGTGATTAAAAAAAACAAAGATTCAGCAGAGTCATAGATGGAAACAACATCAGCCCTAGAGAATTTTACTTGCTTTTCCCACTTTGTCTTTTAGACATCTCCTATTTTTTTCTTCTACTTCTGACTGGTAAAAAATTATTCAGGCTCATTCATCTTACCACGTAACAGCTGAAGAGTGAACCTGTTCAGAGGAATGTTTGCAAAGACAGCTTACTGCAATATATTTCATATACCATGATCTAAAGCAACCATAACGATCCACAAATTCAGTGAAGTCATTGTCTAGCAAAGAAAACCATATTGAAAATTGTTGTAACTATTTGCAAGAATATGACATGTCTTTTGGTTGCAGTTTCATGCTGAGAAATCCAGTAAACAACATGGTGCCTTCCAACCAGCAAAGTGTTCCTACTTAGTTAAAAACTATGGATCAAAGTTCCAGCTTGAAAGAAGGACATGTCTATTAGATCAGCTTCTAACAAAAACACAGCATTTCTTTGAATAAATGAATTTCTAAAAGTGTCAGTGGCATCTATCAGTCAGACAGGTTGGTTGGTTAAATATTCATAGGAACTTTGCAGTAATCCTTAAACTCCTTAAGCCTTTTGAATTTTCAGATCAGCTACTCCATTCAGATTTGCTGGCAGCACTGATTTCTTTCTAAAAGGAGCCACAGAAAATGGTAATGAATCATGCCATTGGTAAGTTTTCATTATTCATCTTAAACATTGCAAATTTTCACTTTACCCTAAAACATAATGAATTAATTACTGTCTGGTAAACTTGCACAGCATATATTGGCCATATTTTGTGCTCCTACACGAATTAATTCAAGTAGTCTCAGATACATCTATTTCAGACCACAAAATAATAATAATTTAGGTTATTATGAGTAAAATTACAATACATCAAAGAGTCTTGATGTTAGTAGAAAAATAACTCCTAAGATTTTAAAGTAAAATCTTAATATTCTTGTTTATATATATATATATATATATATATATATATATATATATATATATATATATATATAATAAAACCTGAGAAAGCCCTATGCTACCCTGCTGGAACCCAAATGATTGTATTATAAATTAGTTATTTGAATAGGTGAGCATTGGAATAGAAAATACAAAGGCCTGAGTAGTTTATTTCTAAAAGTAGACCTGAAAGACATCAATGATTAAGACAGATTTTCATCGGAGAACTGTGTCTTGTTAAATATAGGCAACAGTTTATATTAGGAAGTCTGGTTTTAATTTGCATATAATATCTCCATAATTTAGTTATAGGTTTGACTTTCATGTGAGTCTGAATTTGTCTGAAAACTTTTAGCACGAAAAACCCCACAGAGAAAATAACACTATGGCAAATGTTGTGTTCCATGTTATCTTAAAATTGAAATATAACAGTTCCGATATTCGCTTCATTTACAATTTAAAGCAGCCTATTCAAACTCGTCAGAAGAGCTATTTAACATTGCAGGTGTGTGTGCTGTTTTTTCCTCATGTTCCAGCAGGTTTTTCAAAGTAAGTAAAAGTACAGATCCCTAACGACATGGGTTACTGTACAGTCAGCAGATGGGCTTCATGTCCCCACTTACCACAGTTTCTCTATGGTCTTGCTAGCCATGACTAGTAAATTAAACATGCTCCTAACCATTTTCTGCAAATGAATGTATGCCACAGAAGTGCAGAACAGATGAGCAAAAGATCATTTAGATGATCAAACACTGACTTAATAGAAAGGAGTTATACCTGATTAAAGTTTTGTATCACTTCCTTTGCTATGGTGGAGACTCTCCCAGACACAATTTCTATTCCGGCAGGACCTAAAGGAGGTTAATTGGCCAACAGAAAGAATAAGGGGTGTACAAGGCTCTAAATGTTCTCAAAATGCTTTTCTCCTGCCTTGTTACACCCTAACATCCAGAGTGTTTTAAAAGGGTTAAGTGCTTTGACACCACGGGGTAGAGTGCAGGAGAAGACAACAAACTTCTCAGGAGGTTGAATTGCAAACTTCTTGCAAACTTCAGAGAGCAATGGTCTTACAAATTTTAAATCAACGTCCAGTTAAAGTAAGGCACTCCACAAGGCACTGACTTGGCAAACTCTAAGTCATCCAACTTTAGGTTACACAGATTTTGAGAAAAGAACATTAGGAGAAGAAAGAGAGAGAGAGAGAGAGAGAAAAGAGAAGTCCTAGGAAGGTAAGTTCCAGAAGGGGATGAAAGCTCTGGGAAGAGAAGTTCTGGGAAGGGAAGTTCTGGAAAGCAAGAAAAAAAGCAAGCAAGAAAGCAAGCAAGCAAGAAAGAGTATCTTGGATCCAAACACAATCCAGCTCCTATAATGTCTGAGGCAGTAGGACATATCAAGGGTGCAAACCTGCTTCATGGCCTTTTATCTGCTCTGGTCCTGCCCCACAGGAGGGGCTTTTGGTGTACCAGTGGCTTTGCAGCCACCTTGGAGCTGGGCCAGAGGCCCCAGTGGATGGAGTGTGGAGCACTGCACTGCCTCACCTTCACTGAACTTGCCCTGCCCCTCTTCATCTGCATACTTTTAGTTATTTTGAGCCACCAATCATTTCTCTGGTCCCCTACACTCCTGTGGGGAAGTGATTGCTGTACAATAAAAATTAACAATTTTCTACAGCTTTATAGACATGTGAGCACATTTTAAATATTTTGTAGCAGTGGATGCTAAGCAATTCCTTCTTTCCACAACCACTATTTCAATTTCCTAGCGTTAGGCAATTTGACCAAGAAAACTTTCCCTTTTCCTTCTTCCAGCTTTAAGCACTGCCTCTGGGGAAGACAGATTCCTGTCCTGCCGACAGGACAAGCTAGATTGTCACCTAAAATTCCACACAGCCATGATCCTATTATTTTCCTCTTCTAAGAGTCTTCTAAAACATTTCTGCTTAATAATGGCTTCATTATGACTTTTCTGAAACCTTAGATAATGATAACTTTCAAAGTAGAAACACTTTGCACATTGACAATGGAATGATGAAGAGCCTCATAAAATAAAAAGAAAAAAAAAAACACCTGAAACCTACACCACACTTCACTTGCTTTTTTATCTCTTCTTCTGTGAGAGATTTTTGACTGGCTGCAATTTGCTTTCTTCTCGTGTCCTGCAGGGGACAGCAGATTTGTAGATGAACTGATTAGGCAGGCAGAGATGCTTCTCTCGTTCCTCTTATTTTTCTCTGCCACCTCAAGTGAAGCAGGAGTCACTCTCTCTGGCAGTGTTGTCACTGCTGACTGTGGCCCCAATGATTCATTCTTTTGAACAAGTACTTTGTGTTTCTAAGCACCCCCACAGGACCTATTCAGCCACACTTGTCTTATTTTGCAGAACCTAAAGCATTAATCCTGAAATCTATAATGTTTTTTCATATGATAGTAATAATTTTAAAAACTAGAGATTAGAGAAAACTCTTAATTCAGAAAGAAAAGCATAACAGCTGTAATTACCAGGAGACCAAATTTCTTTCTCCAGTTTCTGAGAGTTAAAGTCACCACTGGGTTCTCTGGAATATGATATACCAGAGAACACATTTCAGAAAGCACATAATCATTTTCTGTAGCGCTGAGCAGCCATACCTTTCCATGCCAGTGGGACATCAAGTTTATTTGGAAGAAAGACATGTAATGCAATTTGCTTTCACACTGCTTTCTGTCTTTAAGGTCTAACTTCCTCCTTCTGGCTGCTTGGACCAGATCATCCATCGTTCTGCATTCTGGAAAATAGAAACAAATACGTTTCAGGAGCTGCCTTCAGGTATATATGAATGCCAGTATATCTCCAAATAACCTTCTGAAATAGTAGTCAAACACTGTATTTGCTGTCAGATGCTGTTCTATTGCATTTGTTCATGATACAACATGGCTGAAGTAAACATGAAAAATTTCAGTCAAGCACCATGCATCCTTTAAGGCTTGAAGGAATATTTCTCACAGCAGTTTCTGAGGTTCATTAGTACCAATTCCTTTGCCTCCATGATGGTTAGAGGGTGTCTGAGACAATATTTATAGGGAATAATACTATCCTTTATCAAGTGATAAAGTGGATAAAGCTGTCTTGAGGCATTGTTCTATTAATTGATTTCTGCCTGTTCTCCTATTCAGCTATAACTTTTTTACCTCAACATCTATTTTTGAGTCTGACATTGCTTTTCCTTACACAGCACTTCAGTTCTATATCCATGAGTATTTGGATGGAACAAGGATAGTCCTTTTAAAGTTATCATCCGAGTTTGAAATGGAAAGATATTTACACTATGTATACATACATCCTATTATCTTCACAAGTTCTGCCTGGAGGGTAAGAGATCTACACACAATTGATTACTTGAAAATGTTTACACTAGAGTGATCTTCACACAAACTATCCAGGGCCTAAAAATAAAAAAAGCAAATCCCATGTACTGTACCACTGCATCCTCTAATCTGGGGCCAGTGGAAGAGAAGGCAGGACTTTTAAAGACAGCCCGCAGTGGTGTGATAAAGTAAATAATTCATTGGGGATTGTGTGTCTCATTAATTACATAAATTACTCAAAATGCAAGTTATCCCCCAAAACAGGGACGTAATTACTTATTCACATTTTCTCACTCTTTTCTGTGAGTAGATATACCTAAACAGTAGAATTTTTCTTCCAAAATATAGATGCTTGAAAACTGGATGTTCACCTTTGCTAATTACAGAAGCATAGACCAGTTTGAGTTGGAAAGGACCTTTAAAGGTCATCTAGTCCAACATCTGCTGAAATCATCAGGAGCATCTTCAGCTAGGAGAGAGAAACAGCAACCCATCTGAAGATAGCCCCCAGAGCAGGCTATCTAGCAGGAATTGCCATGTAGAAACAATTATCCCTCTCCTGTGGCTACATGCAGGTTAATTGGGGTCTGAATAAGGGCAGAATGAGTCTGGATAAAAATGTCTTTGTTCATTTCTGTGTATCCAGAGATGCTTTGACTATACAGAAGGAGAGCAGTGAGCATATTCCTGCCTACAGGGACATGCAATCAAACTGCAGAATTGCTTTCAATAATCATCTGTAAGAATACAACAAACTTAGCTCTGTCACCCACTCAAAACTGCACAGAAAAAAAGCTTCTGTGCAGATTCACAAGATGTTCTTAACTGTTATTAAAAATCTTCTGATAAAAAAAAAATCAAATGAGGAAAAAAAAAAACATAAAATTGTAAAAAAAAAATTAAAACAAAACAAAAAAAAA